GATTGATGTATCCGAGAAATGTGTGAAATAATTTTGGGGAGAATACAGATAAATGGAAAAAATTGCTCAAAATTCTTAAGCTAACAAAGTGGTGAACGCCTGGACTAAGTCCTAGCAGACAGATGATGTACTGCACAGCAGGCTCGAGTTCTCTAGGAATTGAGGTAGAGCCATTTTTAAAAGCTCTTATTATTATTTTACTTTTTTTGTCGTTCCAATGCAATAGCTCTTCCTTTCATGGCTTATTCACATCCCATATAAAATATCTATGTGCTCCCCTGAGAAAAAACATAAGGGGTGGGGGGATAACCACACTTTTGACTATCCAGCCACCTGCTTGTCACCTGAATTTCCAGTTTGTATCAGGACAGGGCTGTAACTTGGAGCTCCTGGAGCCTGGCACTGGCAATCGACTTCTGCACTGCCTGGCGGGCACAGTCCCGATGCACAGGGCAGGCCAGGCTGGGGGCCTGCCGGTCTCTGTGGGTGTGGGAAGTGACAGAGGGCATGAACTGGCCTCCGAAACTGCGCCAGGCAGATGCTGTGAGGATGCTGATGGTGTTGGATTGGGTGTCCCTTTTCTGCTTGCCAGCGGGACAAGAAACAACGGGAGAAGCAGCTCTCACTTCACTGGTAGACAATTTGATAAATGCACTCTGTGTGTGTGTGGTTGAACAATATTTAAAGACACACTCACACACGTATTTTAATTGGGGGGAAAAATCCTATAAACATATGGGTTCTTCTTCCAAACCATAAAAAATCATTTAATAGCTGCTACAGCAGAAATATTTCTATTAACGCTCCTACTTCTCTATACTTTACATGCTGCTGCTCTTTGTTGTTCATGTTTTAGTCATCCAGACATATGTATTTCCAATTTCAAACCTGTGTGACTGAAAAATAAACATCTTAAGATTAGTTTAAAATGGTTTTAAGATTATGAACATACTGTCTATTGCCTGAAACTCACTGTTGCTTAGATAAAAGTAACTGCTCAATCTCTTCCCACTTACTTAGTAACCAGTTATTTGCTCTAGACTAAATGGATTAGAATCCTTCATTGATGAAATTTTGTTTCTATCCCGAACCTGTTAAATACGGAGGGATAAAAGCTTGATCCATCTGACAGTGAGCAAATGGCATCTTAAAATCATAAACGAGTCATTACAAAAAATCTCCACTTACAATATAAAATGCAGTGATTAATTAAAGATGCAGTTTTAACTTATTTATAGCCATTAAAAAAACATACCGGCTTTAACACAAAATAACATGAGCCAAGTCATCCAGGGGAGAGATGCTGACAGCCTGAGACTTGGGGAGCAGGCGGTGTGACAAAGCCGGCAGGGAACAGCAAATGCAGGCCCCCCTTGGAACCTTCAGGGAAGCAGGGATGGGAAGAGGTGGCTCTGGCGCCCCGCCAAGATCCCCTTCTTTTCGCTCACACCCCAACAGTTCAGGAGCGTGAAGGCCCCGTCTCGCTGCGATGGCAGGAAACCTGTGTGCTCCCTCCTTGGCGGTGGCGCAGGCTGCGGGGAGCTTGCCAACGGGAGAGCGTGCTGCGGGGGAGTCAGCCCTACCTCAGGCAAAAAGATGGTACCGGTGAGGGAGAGAGGCAGCAGCTCAAGCGCAGCTTTCGGCAAGCTTTCCCCCTCCTTCCAAAGTTTTTGGTTGTCGATGGCCAAATGCTGGTCTTGCTCGGCTGGTGGGTGTGCTTCCCTGCAGCTGGGGGTACAGGTGGTGGAGGCCAGCCAGGGCTCACATGCTGCGCCGGTGAGCGGAGGCCGCTGCTCCTTGGCCGGTTCAGCTGTGCCGAAGGCTGTGTCAGTGCTCCAGGAGACACAGCCAGCTCCTCCTGAGAGGAATGGTGTAACTTACCCTTCAGAAGGGGTCTGGTCTTGATTTGAAGACCTCAGGAGCTGGAAAATCTACTGTTGCCCTCAGTAGTTTGTCTGTATGGTGGCTTCTCTCCCTGCTAAATCTGTACCATATTCTAAGGGGAATTTGTCTGGCTTTCCCTTTCCGGTTTTGTTTTTTTTTTGTTAGGTTTTTCTCTTTTGGCTGAAAGTGCCAGGTACTGAAGGACGTTTTTTCCCTCTGAAGTAGCTGTTCTGATCAGATGAATTTTCTTGACCTGAGGTCTTAGTATTTGACTGAGGCTGTTTGTGGCTATTTCAAGGAAAAAAATCTGCTTTGGCTAGTGAGAGAGTTGCCCCTTGTACTCTTTTTGAGAGAACATCAAGATAATGACAGGAAGAGAAGCTTTTTAATAAAAATTCTTACCAGATGAGGCACAGGAGAGGCACAGGTTGGGTCATTCCCCCAAGACCAAGAGAACTGTAGGGCTGCTGTAAGAGTAGGGATTATGGACCAATGTGAACAGCAAAGTACCTGGGTCAGCACAGACAGAGCCCCTGCAGCCTGAGACATGGGTCAGGTGCCTTCAGA